TTTGGGCTTTGCTTCTGTGAAGATTGACAGCCTTGGAGACCCTGTGGGCAGTTCCACTCTGTCCTCTAGGGGCGCTGTGGGTCGGCATCCACTCCACGGCAGGGGGTGTGGGTTGGGCTTTGCTCCCATAAAGATTGACAGCCTTGGAAGCCCCCTGGGCAGTTCTCCTTTGTCCTACAGTGGTGCTGTGAGTTGGAATTGACTTGACGGCAATGGATTTGGAGTTTGATTTTAGGAGAGTGGGGCTGCCCAAAGGCACCCCATCACCATGGCGATGACCCAGCTGATGACACTGGAAGAGCTTCCTGTAACCTCCCCTTTGTGTCCCTCTAGAAGGAAGGTGGCCATGGAGGACCTCGGGGAGAACACCACAGTCCTGTCTTCACTGAGGTCGCTGAACAGCTTCATTTCTCAGCGAGTGGAAGGCGGCCCTGCTGGGCGGGATGCCTGTGTTGCGGTGCCGGGATCTCTGCAGATGCAGTACCAGCAGAGTATGCAGGTGAGTGGCCCAGCGGCAGGGTGGGGACTCCGCTGATGGCCCAGGCGTCGGGGAGCCCAGAGTCCTTTAGAAACCCTGAGGGCCTCTGGTTGCCTTGTGGATCCCAACCTGGGCGACCTTGCTTTGTAGAGATGGCTGGCTCTCCACCATGGGTGGTCCTAGCTTTGGGGAGATAGCTGCATTTTGAACATGGGTGCTCATAGTTTGAGGACACTACCAGAGCGCCAACCTGGGCATCCCTGGTTTGCAGAGATGGCCGGGTCTCCAGCATGGTGGTCCTGGTATTGGGGACATAGCTGGTTTCCCATGTGGGCATTCCTGGTTTTGGGAGGTGGCCAGAGTCCAGGATCTGGCCCTGAATGGGACTGAGGCTCTCTGGCCCCAACTTAGGCCCCCACACTAGTCAGAAGACAGATAAGTCACTTTATTCATGGAACTGAGGAAGAAAATCCCAGTGTCTGGGAACATGGCCGCCGGGGCCTCCAGGCAGCATGCCGTCCCCTAGGAAGGCCTGACCCTCCAGATGGCTGTACTGCGATCACGGGTCTCTCGGTCAGCCTGGGGCAGGCAGCAGGGCTGTGAGTGAAGGCAGTGGGCGTGTCACATCTCTGCTGAAATGGGCTGTGGGTGATTTTTGCTTTTAGCTCTGGTCTGCCTTCTGTATCCCACATTCTTGGGAGTGCTCAGCGCATATGTGGTTTGAAAGAGGCTAGGGCTGCTACGTACTCAGGCCCCAGGGTTGCAGGGTTGGGAATACCTGGATCCAGACAAAAGGGAGATGTGGTGTCCCCAGTCCTATCCAGGCCTGTCCCTGTCTCTCTCTCTCTCTCTCTCTCTCTCTCAAGTGCCACCAGGGCCCCCTGCTGACTTGGTCTGAGTCAGGCTGCCTGGTGGCTTCCTGTCCCCTTGGGGGCCCCCATGAGGCTTATGGCAGCATTCTGTAAAACAAGTGGCAGGGTGTGTGTCTCATGTTCGGAATCCCTGGGTGGCGCAGATGGTGAAGTGCCCGATTACTAACCGGAAGGTTGGTAGTTTGAGCCCACTCAAGGCACCTTGGAAGACAGGCCTGGCCGTCCTTCTGAAAGACACCAGCCATGGAAACCCTGTGGAGGAGTTCTGCTCTGACACGTGTGGGGCACTGGGAGTCGGTGCTGACTCAGTGGCCACTGGTTTTGCTTTCCTGGGCTGAGTGACTGGATCAGTGCGTATTTGCGGGGGACACTGCTCCCTGCCCGTCTTAGCAGGGCTGCTCTTTACCCTGAGATTAGACCTGTTAATGTTTTATTTTGGGGTGAAGATGCTTTTATGAAATGGTGGTGATACTAGACAACTGGTTTGACCCCTGCTCACGGGCAGAATCAGAAGTTGGCAACTCTGGTCTGAAGGTGAATGCTGGGAACTTCTGGCATGTGTGAGAACCTGGCCTATTTAAGCCTGAACTCGGAGGCCCAGCCCTCAGTCAGCTGTGCTCCTGTGTGGTGCCTCCTTGCTTATGGGGTGAGCCTCTGGGTGCGTGTGGTGGAGCTCGCTGGCTTGCAGTTCCAGCAGCCTGGAGGGCCTGTGCAGGCCTGTCCTCTCTGCCCTCTCCCGGGACTGGAGTCACAGTCCTGCTTGTCTGCTGAAGCCTCCTGAGATGGCAGATGGGAGGGACGGAGGACACCATGGACCTGGGGGTCCGGGGGTAGGGCTCGCTCTGTCCTGCTGGCTAGGGCTCTTTTTTTGAATTGACCTGTGGTTTATTCCAGGTTCTAATCAGTATCTGATAACTGCTTGCATACCGTTATCAAAACATCAGTAATTCTCATAACATCTGTCACCTCCAGCGGACAGGGACAGGTTTTGGAGGTGCTGCTTTTCTGTATGTGCACAAGGAGGCCGGCTGCCTTATCACAGTTGACAGGAGGGTGTTATAGTTAGTTAGATCACTTTACATTCCACTTCGCTGATTGTTAGCTGCTTGCTGTGGGAGAGCTATTTAATATGTCCCAGATTCGTTATCTGAAAACAACACCCTCATAGATTTTTTTCCTTTTAAATAAGACATTGGTACGTGACTCATAAAACCCCCTGCCATCAAGTCCATTCTGACTCACAGCGCCCCTAGAGGACAGAGTGGAACTGCCACAGAGACTCCCTTTTCTCCTTACTGTGCTCTGGGTAAAAGTGTACAGAGCATGTTAATTTCCCTTTTAACACTTTGTACCCACTTGGCTTTGAAACATTAGTCCCCTCACTGTAACAGGACTCTAGCTTCCTCCCTGGGTCCCTGTACCCACCTTTTGTGTTTTTCAAGGCTCTGGTTTAGCTGAAGGTGAGTACAGTCTGTGTCCCACATCGCTGTTGCTTAAATGCATCATGCTTAAAATTTCGTTCTTTCAAATGAAGTGGATGTTCCGGGAAGATGTGCCCACGTGTCATGTGTATTTGTGGGCCCGGTCCCTGCACCGTGGTCCCCTGGGAGGTGGGGTTCCCTCCTCCTTGGAGCAACACGGAGGCCGCTGTGGATATAGCAGGCTGCTTAGCACAATGAGACAGGAAAGCCTAGTGGTTTCCATGAGGCTGGAATTAGGGCTCCCCACATAGCAATGGCGTGGTGGAAGTAGAAGAAAGCTGGTAGGGTTAAAGAAAGTGGGGCTTGGACCCTGCAAGAGGGCAGGTGGGAGACTGGACCCCACAAGACGGCATGTCGGGGACAGCAGGGAGCCTTTCCCCTCGCCTGGTGGCTTGTCCTCGGCACTCTGGGCATTTGAGGTGGCTGAATCTAGTCTGAGGGACATTCCTGTGCACCGTGGGTATCAAGCCGCAACCTTGGCCTATGTCCCCATATGCCGTAGTTCCCTCCCCCAAGTGGTTACAATTAAAAATGTCTCCGGGCACTTCTAGTGTTCCTGGGGTGGGGGTGGGGCAGTACTGGCCCCTTGAGAGCTGCTTGCTGCTCCAGCCCCGGGCTTGGGCTTGTCACACTCAGTGTGCCCCACCTGACAGTGAGTAGGAGGGGGATTCCTCTTGCATGGTCTGGCGTGGCCTGGGTGTGGTCTGAGAGCCAGCATTTCTGAGAAGGTCCAGGCTGGGCCCTGCTGCTGGCCATGGCTGCCTGTGGAGTGGCCCAGCTCCAGCTGGTGAGGACAAGGCCTTTGACCCTCCGGGAGCCATGACCCTCAAGGCTTGACCCCACCCTATTTACCCTGCCTCTGTGGGAGGTGGGGTTCTGGACTGGTCCCCACATTCTCAGTCCTGGTGTGCACTCCTTCCCCCAGTCCCTTCACACTGTGGGGTGAGAGAATTTTTCAGGTATTAAAGTCTCAAATCAAGGTGTGAAGGTGATCAGGGTGGGCCTGGCTTAATCCCAGGGTCCTTCAGTGTGGGTGTAGTGGTTAGACAGGGAGGTCCGAGGAATTGGAGGCAGGCTGGGGCCTGGGCACGAGGGATCTTCTCTGCTGCTGGGTTCAGAGAATGAGTGGAGATGTGGCTCTAGGACCAGCCGTGGTCCCAGCTGGCAGCCAGCAGGGACACAGGACCTCAGTCTTGCAGTGATGGAAACTGGATCTGGCCACAACCCCATGGGCGTGGAGGGGAACCCAGAGCTCTGGTGGGGCGCTGGCTGGCTGATACTTTGTTTTTAGCCCATGAGGCCCTAGGCAGGTCCTCACCCCAAAACTGTCATCCCACCGTGTGTCCTGTTCACGCTGCTCCATGTGTGTAGCGTGTTACTGAGCATCAGAAAACAGACATGCCTCTCTCCCCAAACACGCGTACACACACACGCATCTTAAAGTGTGCGCCCTCCTCCATCCAGCTGGGTTACCTGCTCCCCTCTCCCCATTGGGGCCCTTGGCATCCTTCCTGCACCGTGGGCAGCCTGCTGGGGAGGGTGTGCAGTGGGGTGGGTAGGGTTGGCGCAGCCGCTGACGCGCTGTCTCTGGTTTTCCTGGGCCCTACCCAGCTGGAGGAGCGCGCGGAGCAGATCTGCGCCCAGTCTCACCTCCTCCAGGTGGAGCGAGAGAAGATGCAGATGGAGCTGAGCCACAAGAGGGCCCGTGTGGAGCTGGAGCGCGCTGCCACCACCAGCGCCCGGAACTACGAGGTGGGTCCCTCCAGACAGTGAGAGGCGGAAGCCCCGCCAGCTGGACGCTGGGATGCGTCAAGTCTGGGCTGCTGGGCATTCTGTCTGAGGCCAGCAGTGAAGGGGACGGGAACCAGAGTGTAGACCCAGCAGAGATGGTGAGTGGCATGGGGGGACAGGGTCAGGTGTCCTGGGGGTCCAGGCTGGTCCTTGGAGGAGAGGCCCCATGTCAGTGGCAGCTTCCTGTGCTCTGACCTGCCCAGGGCTGGCAGGAGATGCCTGTCATTGGGGGACCAAGGTTTCACCTGGTCATGACTCCCGTTGCCTTGGATTTGCTTGGCAGCCTGCTTTGCCGGGGGCTCTGTTGGTGCTGCTCAGCTGCGGCCGCTCCCAGGATGGAGCGCTGCACCCTCTGCCCACCCTCCATGCTTCTGACCGAGGCTGAGGGTCTGGCCCCGTGTGGCCTCCTGTGGCCTCCTGGGGTTCGTCTGCGCTTTCTGTCTAGGTTCCTGGGGCTGCCGTCCCACACATGCCGTCCAGGGTGGCTTTGAAGAGCAGGATTCATTTCCCCAGGAGGCCAGGTGCCGGCGTCAGGGCGGCACTCGGGACCCTGGGCTCCTGAGAGTCCTTCCTGGTCTAGCTCAGCTTCCGGTAGCTGTTGCAGTCTGGGGCATCTCTGGGCTTCTCGACGCATCTGTCTCTGTTGCCTGCCTTCCTTCCCTCCATCCTGGTGCTCAGAGCGTGTAGGCGCCGAGGGACGGGCCATGGTGGCAGGGCTGTCAGGCCACTTTGTGGGGAGGTGCGGGGGCGCAGGGGTGGCGGGGTTGAGTCCCGGGGACCTTGGGGAGCCTGAGCCTCCATCTCAAGGCCTCTGTGTCCCTCCCCACAGACATAGCTGAATGGGGCCTGGCAGCTTTGAGCTCCTTCCCTGGAGGCCTGGCAGCCATGACAGGGTTTTTAGGGGCTGCTCGGGTAGGTAGGACGACTGGTGGTACGGGTCTAGCTCCTCCCCCTGGAATCGATTAGCTGTTGTTCCTCCAGGGGTGGGATCTGACCCAGGGTTCAGGGTGGGACCCAGGGGTCAGGGCGGGCTCGGGGCCGGGGCCAGGCCGGGGCTGTGTGAGCTGCCCACCTACGCCTGCACTAGGAGCTGGGGCGTGAGGAGACCCACATTTTGCCTCTGACCACTGACCAGGCCACTGTGCTAGCCAAGCACCCTGTTTTGTGTCTCCCAGGATCCTGGAGTTCCCAAGGGTCCTGGGTTCCCGAGAGTCCCTGTTCCAGCATCCCCGAGGGCCCTGGCATCCCCAGGGACCCATGTGTCCCCAGGGACCCCTTGCCTTGGTGTCCCCGAGGGCCCTGGCATCCCTGGACAGACCCCTCCCTGCACAGACCCCTCCCTGCACAGACCCCTCCCTGCACAGACCCTCCCTGCACAGACACCCTCCCTGCAAGACCCCCTCCTTGTAGAGACCCCTCCCTGTGTCCCCAAGGGTCCTGGAGTCCCTGAGGGTTCCCACTACAGGACTTTCCGCTGCTCTGAGGCTGCACGTCCCTTTCACTGGGTCACCTCCCCGTCTATCTCTTAGTTTGGGGGAGAAGCTGGCCCATGTCCTTCTCTGGTGAGGCCAGCTCTGGGAGCATTAGGAGGCTCGCACAGGGAGCTGCTGGCACGGGACTGGCCGCTGGCCCCTGAGTCTCTGTGCTCTTGGGCGGAGGGGCCCTTGAAGTCAGAGGTGCAGGTGTGAGCCCTAACCCTGCCCCTCCACAGGGGCTGAGCAGTCCTGTACCACCAGGCAGCCTTGAGGTCCCACAGGGGGCGTGACCTGGGGCAGGTCTGGGCCATGGCACAGACTGTCAGCAGCTTCCTGGCTGCACCCCACCCTGCCTGGGCATCTGCTCGAGGGGACGGCAACATGGGCTAGCGCAGTGGGCACAGGGAGGGCCCCATGGGGCCTGTGGAGCATGGATGGGCTCTCCAGAGTCAGCGCTGGGCATCAGTCCTCCGTGCTGGTCACCTCTCTGCAGAGGCCACTGCCTGCAGAGAGCCCTGCCTGCACAGACCTCCTCCCTGCAAGACCCCCTCCCTGCACAGACCCCCTCCCTGCACAGACCCCCTCCCTGCAAGACTCCCTCCCTGTAGAGACCCCTCCCTGCACAGACCTCCTTGCCAGTGGATATGCAGTGCTGTGGGGGATCATCCATGCTGAGTGCCCACCTGCAGCCCCGGGGCCTCTCTGGATGAGTGATGTGTCCTGTGGTATGGTGCCGGCATGGATACAGGAATTCTGGCCCCTCCCTGAGGCTCCTGGCTCCTGTTCTGGGCCAGTGGGTCTGAGGCTGCTTCTCCGGCCATGGTCCTGCCTTGGGAGGGCTAGTGGCAGCCCCCTTGCTCTGATGAAATCCGAGGTCTCACCTTGGAGTCCCCTCTCACTCACCCCTTGTCCTCCTGACAGCGCGAGGTTGATCGCAACCAGGAGCTGCTGACGCGCATCCGGCAGCTTCAGGAGCGCGAGGCCGAGGCCGCGGAGAAGATGAAGGAGCAGCTGGAGCACAGCCGGTCCTGCCGGCAGAGCCTGGACGCCGCCAGCAAGAAGCTGCGGGAGAAGGAGGACGGCCTGGCTGAGGCCGGGGAGGTGAGGCCGCCCCAAGAGCCGCCATCAGAGCAGAGCGTTCCCGTTCCCACCAAATACCACCACTACAGATACCTTGCGGTGGTCTCCCTTTCTCATGCACGTGACATGGGGCCCTGTTGTTTTGGGAGTAACAGTACTAATTTCCTATTGCGTGGGTGACAGTTAATACGTTGAAGACTCTTTTGGTTTTGGAATTACGATTTTTAATGGTTGCGTAGTGCCTTAGGCATTTGACTGCTAACCAGAAGGCTGGTGGTTCAAACCCACCAGTTCAAACCTACCATCCATTTCTTGGAAGGAAGATTGGGCAATCTACTTCTGTAGTGATACCTCCTCGGAAACCCAAGGAGGGGTCGCTGTGAGTCAGGTCCGACTCGACGGCACATAACAACAACACAATTTGTTACTTGAAGAGCGCTGATGGTGCATTGGGTGAAGCACTCAGCTGCTAACCAAAAGGTTGGCGGTTTGAACCCACCAGCTGCTCTGAGAGAGAAACATGAGGCAGTCTGCTTCCATAGGACTGACAGCCTCGGAGACCCTGTGGGCAGTTCCACTTTGTCCTCTAGGGGCACTGTGGGTCGGAATGGACTTGATGGTAGTGGGTTTGTTTTTTTGTTTTTGTGGCACAGTGGTCAAAGCATTCAGCTGCTAACAAGAAGTTTGATAGTTAAGACCCACTAGCTGTTCTGTGGGAGAAAGATGAGGCAGTCTGCTTCTATAAAGAAGAAAGCCTTGGAAAGTCTGTGGGAGCAGTTCTGCTCTGTCCTGGCGGGTCATTCTGAGTCGGGATGGACTCAGTGCCAGTGTGTTTTGAATTAGTTTATTTGGACAAATGCTAGGAGTGGAGCGTGAGGTCCTGTGATGTGATAGCTCCCTCTGTGGCATCTGCTGCCGGTGGCTGCATTGCATCACTGGCCTTTGGATGCTCTCGTTCCACGTTGGCTGTACTGGCCGTGGACAGAGGTGGTTTGGGGAGCACCCACCTGCCGTGGACAGAGGTGGTTTGGGGAGCACTGGTTTCTTTCAGGAGTGGTAAGCAGGTGCTGCTGTACGTGCATTTCTGTCATTAAGAGCGAAGTCTGTTCGCTCCAGAGCATCGTGGAGATGGGCAGTTGCCTTTGCTGTCTGTGCCCTGAGGGTGCTATGAATTCTAGGAGGAGTCCTGCTGGTGCTGGTCGAGCCGGGACGCTCTGACCTTTCCTGTCCCCTCTCTGTGTTCAGGATCGCAGGTGCTGGGGGGAGAAGATGGAATGCTGCCGGGGGAGTGTGGGGACGTGGATCGCTGGTATTCCGCGGCTGCTGCTTCTCTCTGCCTGACGGGTCTCTGGAAGTAGTAGCTCTGGGTTACTTTGGCCTGCGCAGCACTGGAGAGCGCGCTCGGGGCGTTCCTGGATCTTCTGAAGTGGACACTGGCAGGGGAGGCGCACGGTGGGCTGGGAGGAGGTCTGACGGTGCTCCCGTCCCTGGCCCTGTGCTCTGGGGACAGGTGTGGGTGCCTGTTCTGTTACAGGGCCTCATAGCTTGGGGAAGGCCGGTACGTCTGCCCTCAGTTCAGTTAAAAGCAGAGGGGAGCGGAACACTTGGTACACACAGTGAAGGGCACAAGCACATCTGCGTGGGATGGGGCCTCTGCTGTGGCTGTCTTGACCTTCCGGATCTCTGTAAACATTCCCTCCTGGGTGCTGGGTCTGAAGTTGCAGCCCCTCCTAGCCACGTCTTCTTGCCTGTCTTCCCTGCCTCTCTGCCCCCCACAGGCACCTTCACTCACAGTGCACTGCTCCTGTCTGGGGGCTGATTGTTGGGCCTCAAGGGTCCCCGCACCCAGCAGAGCCTGGGTGTGACTATTGAGTGCAGGAGGACGCTTGGAAGGACACGTCCCTTTTTCACTGGGGTATAGCTGCCTCTGATTTTCTCTCGTCCCCTGTGATCGTGAGGAGACGTGGACAGTGGGGCCTCCCAGTGTCACATCCAGAGGGAGCTGGGGGCCAGTGCAGAGTGTTTCAGTGGGCTCTTGGTCGATCACCTTCTGTGTATGGGTGACTAAATGCTGTGGCTCTTGGTCCCCCAGACTGGGACCACCGAGTGTCCCTTCCTGTGCAGCTTGGCCTGGGCCTGTCTCTCGCCCTCAGCTTGCTGATGACTCCTGGGGGTTGGTGTCGGCTGCTGGAGGCTGATTCAGAGAGTGTTTGTGTTTGGTCCTCTCTGGGTACCTGTCAGGGAACCAGCTTCTCATGCTGGCCCAGCCGGCTTACGCTGTTCACTGAGAGAACTTCAGGGCTGAGGGTTCTCGGGAGGAGCCATGCAGGAGTCCCAGGGGAGGTGGCTGTAATGTGGCAGGGTGGTCCTGGGCCCATGCTGCCCGGGGGATGCCGGGATGGGCTTGCGGGCCTCGTCCCAGGACGGCCTCTGGCACTTTGCCTCCTTCCTATGTGACGCTGCCTTCTCGTAGGTTACAGCCTGGCTGCAGCCTGGGCTTCCCGTCCTCAAGGCGGCTTACAGTTCTCCTCCCTTGGTAGCTTTCAGGGTTCAAGCCTGAGGACAGCCTCAGCCCTCCTCTTCTGGAGGGTTCCTTGCTGCTGGCTGTAGCAACGTTGTAGCAGAGCGCCGGGAGTAGCAACGTTGTAGCAGAGCGCCGGAGCCGTGGGCTGGGGTGGGAAGGAGTTGTGGCTGAGAGGTGGTGGCAGGGATGAGTTTGGTGGCCTGTGGGCCAGGCCTGGAAGGGACATAGAGGTCCAGTGGGGGCACTGGGAGTGGGTGCGTGCTGGGGAGGTGCCATGCTCTGGGGTGTGTGTTCGACCTTCCTGGCTGACGGGCCGTCTGCCCCTGGAGCCCACCTCACCACGATGGCCTTCCCAGGGCCCGGCCGTACTGGTCTTGCCAGCAGCTCTGGGAGCAGAAGGCTCTGGAGGAGAGGCTTTCCTGAGTGTGGGGCTGAGGGTGAGGTCTGGGGGGCAGTCTGTCTCGTCTCATCGGCCTCATGCTGGGACGAGAGGGGATGGGTGGCAGGCGTGGTCTGCCCCTCACACTGCATCTGGGCGTGCCTCCATCTGCTCAGGTGTGTGAGGCCACGGCAGGCCTGGCCTCTGAGCCACTGACCCGTTGACGAGGGGACACCTGCCTGCTTTGTCTGTCTCCCTTCAGACCATCAACGTGCTGAAGGGCAGGGTCTCGGAGCTGCAGTGGAGCGTGATGAACCATGAAATGCAGGTGAAGGGCCTGGAGTCTGAGAAGCAGGAGCTGCAGGAGCAGCTGGATGCACAGCACAGGTGAGGGCCAGAGGGCCCAGGCAGCGGGCGGGCGCTGGAGCCCAGCTGGGCCCTGCAGACGGTGGGGGGGGGGACCTAGGCAGGCAGGCAGGTGGGCGGGCGCTGGAGCCCAGCCGGGCCCTGCAGACAGGGGGCACCCGGGCAGGCGGGCGGGTGGGCGGGCAGGCGTTGGAGTCCAGCTGGGCCCTGCAGACAGGGGGCACCCGGGCAGGCGGGCAGGTGGGCGGGCGCTGGAGCCCAGCTGGGCCCTGCAGACAGGGGGCACCTGGGCAGGTGGGCGGGCGCTAGAGTCCAGCTGGGCCCTGCAGACAAGGGGGATCTGGGCAGGTGGGTGGGTGGGCAGGCATTAGAGTCCAGCTGGGCCCTGCAGACGGGAGGCACCCGGGCAGGTGGGCGGGTGGGCGGGTGTGCAGGCATTAGAGTCCAGCAGGTCCTAGCAGACAAGTGGGACCCAGGCAGTTGGGCAGGCAGGCAGGTGGGCATTAGAATCCAGCTGGGCCCTGCGGACAGGTGGGACCTGGGCAGGTGGGTAGGTGGGCAGGCAGGTGTTGGAGTCCAGCTGGGCCCTGCAGACAAGTGAGACCCTGGCAGGCAGGTGGGTGGGTGGGCATTATAGTCCAGCTGGGCCCTGAGGACAAGTGGGACCTGGGCAGGCAGGCAGGTGGGTGGGCGTTAGAGTCCAGCGGGGCCCTGCAGGCATGTGGGACCCAGGCAGGTGGGTGGGTGGGCAGGCGTTAGAGCCCAGCTGGGCCCTGCAGACATATGGGCAACAGGTGGGTAGGTGGGTGGGCATTATAGTCCAGCGAGGCCCTGAGGACAAGTGGGACCTGGGCAGGCGGGTGGGTGGGCGGTGTTAGATCCCAGCTGGACCCTGCAGACAGGTGGAACCTGGGCAGGCGGGCATTAGACTTGAGCTGACCCTGAGGAAGGCAGGACCCTGGGCGGGTGGGAGGGTGTTAGACTCCAGCTGGGTCCTGAGGAAAGTTGGACCCTGGGTGGGTGGGCATTAGACTCCAGCTGGGCCCTGAGGGTGCATGGATCTGGGCAGGGTCTGTGTGGAAAAGGCCTTCCAGGCTGCAGGGCACAGGAGCATGGGAACATGCGTCTTTGGCAGTGCGGGCGCATGTGGAAGGAGCTGTGTGGAGGTGCCCTCAGGACTCTGCCTTCTCTCCTGAAAGGGTGACGTTAGTAGACATGGTCTTAGACGACATGGTCGTCCCCCAGAGTTGGGGAGGTCGGGAGGCCCTGAATTTGTATCCCACAGAGAGAGCACTGGGTCACTCGTGCCTGTGGGGCCCGGGAGAGTGATGGGTCAGGGCTGGACAGGAACTTGTGGGTGATCCAGGCTGCTCCTCAGATGAGGAGACTGATGCCACGGGGCTGGTGGGAGAGTGCACAAGGTCTAGGCAGTTGTGTGGAGGGCGGGAGTGTGTGTGTGTGCAGGTGTGTGAGCCTGTGTGTATGTATCTGTGCATGTGTGTGTTTGTATCTCTGTGTGCCTGCATATCTGTGTGCGTAGGTGCATGTGTGGGTGTTGTATGTATGTATGAATTGTCTGTGAGTGTATGTGTCTGCGTGTGTGTATTTTTGCGTTTGTGTCTTTGTAGCTCTGTGTGTGGATCTTTGTGTCTGTGTGGATCTGCATCTCTGCATATGTATGTGTATGTGATTGTGTGTGTCTGCATGTGTGTCTGTCTATCTCTATGCATGTGCATGATTCTTTGTGTGTATCTGAGTGTGTGAGTATTATGTGTGGGTGACTGTGTATCTCTGTATGTGCGTGAGCATGATTATGCACGAGTATACACGTATCTGTGTGTCTCTGTGTACCTATGTATAGGATTATATGTGTGTCTGTGTATCTGTATCTGGATCTCTGTGTGTCCATGTGTGTGATTGCATGTGAGTGTCTCTATTGTGGGTACCTCTGTTTGTCTGATTGTGTCTGAACGTGTCTGTGTGTGTATCTCTGTGTGTCTCTGTGTATGTCTGTGTATTTGTGTATGTGTATGTCTGTGTGTATCTGTATGTGGTTGTGTCTGAGCGTATCTGTGTATGTATCTCTGTATCTGTGTGCATGTGAGTGTGTGTGAGCATACCTGTGTATCTGTGCATGTATGTCTGTGTATCTGTGTGTATGTGATTGTGTCTGAGATTATCTGTGTATGTGTGCGCATATGTCTCTGTGTATCTGTGTGTGTACGTGTGATTGTGTCTGAGTGTATGTGTGTGTATGTATGTGTGTGTATATCTGTGTGTATCTGTGTGTGTGGTTGTGTCTGAGTGTATCTGTGTATGTATCTCTGTATCTGTGCGTGTGATTGTGTCTGAGCATATCTGTGTATATCTGTGTGTGTATGTCTGTGTATCTGTGCGTGTATGTCTGTGTGTATCTGTGTGCATGTGATTGTGTCTGAGCATGTTTGTGTGTGTATCTGTGTATCTGTGTATCAGTGTGCATGCATGTGTGTATCTGTGTGCATGTTTGTAATTGTGTCTGAGCATATCTGTGTGTATCTCTGTGTGCATGTGATTGTGTCTAAGTGTTTCTGTGTGTGTATCTGTATATCTGTGTGTATCTGTGTGTGTGTCTGTGTATATCTCTTGTGTGTGTGGTTGTGTCTGAGCATATCTGTATGTATATATATCTCTTTGTGCGTGTGGTTTTGTCTGAGCATATCTGTGTGTGTATCTGTATATCTGTGTGTGTATCTGTGCATGTATGTCTGTGTATCTCTGTGTGTGTGTGTGGTTGTGTCTGAGAATATCTGTGTGTATATATCTCTGCGTGTGGTTGTGTCTGAGTGTATCTGTGTGTATATCTCTCTGTGTGTGCTTGTGTCTGAGTGTATCTGGGTGTGGATCTCTGTGTATCTGTGTGTATCACTGTGCATGTCGGTCTTTGTGTGCATGTGTGTGCAAGTGCATGCTGGGAGGCTGCAGGGGGAAGGTGCTTGTTGGCCTCACCTCACACCCTCAACTTGCTCTGTTCTTTGCACAGAAAATGGCAGGAGGCGAATCAGAAGATCCAGGAGCTGCAGGCCGGCCAGGAAGGGAGGGTGGAGCAGGAGCGGAAGATCCGGGTGAGGCTCGGCTCTGCCCGGCACTGGGGCCCGTGCACGTCACCGTGGGTCGGGTGCATGTCACCGTGGGGCCCGTGCACGTCACCGTGGGTCCCGTGCACGTCAGTGTGGGGTTTCAGCCTCCTGCTCTGCTCTGTGTCTGAGCTCGGCATGTGCAGTGGCTTCTGTGGGCACTTGGCCGCCTGTCACAGCTGCATCTGTGCAGCCTAACTTGCTGGTCTCCTCTGTGTGCTGGGTCCTGTGCCGGGGGATGGGGGAGAGACCTGAGTCTGTCTCAGAGCACATGCTCCCCTGCAGAAGACAGCAAGTATGGAGACAAAAGTAGGGAGAGTGCATGAAGATGGTGGGATAAACTCAGCACACGCCGGTGACATCACTGCCCACGCGTGGCTGAGACCTGGAGTTGGCAGGGTGGACTCAGCATAGGCTGGCTGTTGTCACTGCCAGTGTGTGGCCGAGTCACCCTAGGCCAGTCAGCGTGTTTCTGGAGTCCAGGCTGCCAGCCAGCCAGTGATGCAGGGTCACACTGATCTTAGAATCCACTCCACACCCTTCCACTCCATCTTGCCTCCCAAGCCCTCCCCTGTGCTGTGGGCTGCTCAGAGCCGTAGACCTTGGGAGCTTGCTCTGCCTGTCTGTGTACTCCTTTCCATCTGGCTAGGGTATGCATGTCTTGCCCCTCGCCACGCCGAGCCCCTACCCCCCTGTGGCCCTGGCGTCCTGCTCTGTGTCCGTGTGCCTGGGTGGTCCAGCATCCTCTCCCCGTGTCCGAGCCTCCATTCCGACGTGGGCCAGTGCCTGTCCCCGAGGCTCAGGACACGCTTGCTGAATGCCTGCCAGGCTTGGCTTTGTTTTATCAGTTAGTAACCTGTCCCCTTTTATCAGTTAGTGACCCTGTCTGCTCAGTGACTTGTCATTCGTGGGTGCCAGCTTTCTCTTACTGGGCCCCAGAGGACGAGACGTTACCCAGGAAACACTCTGGGTTGAGGGATTCTGTGTGACTCTCTGGCCATGGGGAAGCCAAGCCCACCCTGGATGCCCTCCCGAGGCAGGGTCACCACACATGCAGCTCTCAGCGAAGCACGGGAAGGGTTTTGCTGGAGGCGTGTGGGAGTGAGCCCGGCACCGGTGGGTGGGTGCAGGGGAGAGGGCTGAGCGGTCGGGAGGGCTTCCTGGAGGAGAGGAACGGGGCGTGCACCGTGCTGGCTCCGTCAGGGACACGATGCGGCCTGACCCTCCTCTCCCTCCTGGCCGCAAGCAGGACTTGGAGCAGAAGCTGTGTCTGCAGGAGCAGGACGCCGCGGTGGTGAAGAACATGAGGTCGGAGCTGCTGCGGCTCCCCAGCGTGGAACGGGAGCTGAGGCAGCTGCGGGAGGAAAACGCCCGCCTGCGGTGCGGCCCGGGGCGCGGCCTTGGGGGTGGCTCCAGGAGGAGGGAGTCTCTGGGGGTGAGGGGCCCTGCAGGCCTTGCCACGTCCGGACTTCCTGGCCTCGGGGAGCAGGGTCCCGGGAGACTGAGGGGCAGCCTGTGGGCCGGGGCCGTCCTTCTCAGCTGCCTGCAGCCCTAGGGCTGTGGCTCTCTTGACCTTGTCTCCGCCCCTCCCCCCCAGGGAGATGAGAGAGTCCAGCGGGCTGCTCCAAGAGGAGCTGGAGGGGCTGCAGCGGCGGCTGGGGCGACAGGAGAAGCTGCAGGAGGAGCTGGTCAGCTTGGAGCTGGAGAAAGAGGTGAGGCCCCAGGGCGCTGCCTTGCAGGATGTCCTCCACTTGGCCGCACTCACGCTCTGGCCGCACCTGGACATTCGACTTGTGTGGTCCAACTGGTCACTTAACACGTGGAAGGCATTGTGGGGATGTGACAAGCATAATGGCACCTGGCGTGCCCATGTCCCTGCTTGCAGAGCCCGTGACCACTTCAGGGTGGGTGACAGCGGGGGTGGCCCGTGATGACCCTGGATCATCGGGTGGGCCGCATCACAGGGCCCTTCACAGTGAGAAGGGGCGGTCAGGGTGGTGACAGAGGACCGCTGACCCCGCTGTTGCTGCCTCTGAAGGGGAGGGAGGGCCGCGAGCCAGGAACACCGTGGCTGCTGAGACTCGAGGGCCGGGAGGACTTGCCGAGGCCAGGGGCTTAGTGAAGGGTGGGTACTCCGTGAGAATAGCACCGACTGCTGGTGAGCAGGCACCCGTGCTGGGCTTCTCCTGCGTCGTCATGTGACCTGCAGGTGTGGACACCTGTGCTGAACTCCACGCTGCGTCACTGTGGGACCTGCAGGTGGCCTTTTGTCGGGAGAGGATGTTGGCATTGGGACTGTCTTGCTGAACGGATGGGGAGACTGAGGCTCTGGGGGCCAGTGGACACACCCAGTGCACAGGGAACATGCTGCATTCTGGACAGAACTGAGCCTCTTGCTGTTGGCTCTGTCCTGCCACGGTGCATCCCATGGCGTGGAGCACGTTGCTGCCACCCAGGAGTTCTCGCAGACTCACAGGGTGTAAAAGCTCATCGGGTGTCTGTGCTGTCTGCTGGGCGGGGCTGCTCCCTGTGTGAGCAGTTGGGTCCTGTGCCCTGAGGGGCTGTGCACCAGGGGTCTCTGTGAGTCACGTGGGGATGTAGCCTGGAGAGCCACCCTGGAGCCATGCAGCATTTCCCCTGAATGCAGTTCTGTTTGAAATCTCCCCCGCTACCAACTAAACCAGAGAGAAGCCTCTGTAAGGCCACGCCACGTCCTGGCCAGACTCCTTCCGTCTAGCTGTGTGGGTCCACGTGGCTGAGAGGCCCCAGTCTGCCCTCAGTGGGTCCCGGTCCTGGGAAATGATAATGCTTCCCACTTTCTGCCCTCTCACTTGGCTGAGCTTTGCTTTAGCCTCTGTTTCCCTGGAGCCTCACAGTCACCTTGGCCCCCACCTCTTCACGTCACAAGCCCATGCTTCAGGGAAAGACTTGGCTTTACCTACTCGGTCCTTTTGTCTTTGCAGAGGCTGCTGGCGAAGCTGCAGAGCTGGGAGAGTCTGGGCCAGACCACAGGCTTGCCCCTCAGGTAGGCAGAGAGACGAGCCCGCCAGTCCGGCCCTTGGAGTGGAAGGGGCAGAAGGTGGCCTTCCTGGTGGAGGTGGCCCGCCCTGAGTTCTCTCCAGGGAGGGTCCTCTGTGGGCTGTTGGGGGAGCTCTTGCTGCCTGCTGTTCAGGTTTGGTGAGGTGCCTTTTTGGGGGGACGGAACGAGGCGGTGCTCCCTGCTGACGGCCTCATGGCGTCTTCCCCTCAAATCGACAGCCGCAGCTCCCGGGGCAGGGCCGGACCGCTCTGCTGCTCGGCTTCATGGACGGGCTCTGGAGGGGAGGCAGCTGCTCTTGGGAAGTCACGTAGGTGATTTTAATGAGTCGAGATAGTGAGTTTTGTTTGATTTTTTTTAGACATAATGGAGGATTATTGTCTCAGTCGGGCCTCTGTAGGTGCCGCCTCAGCTAGTCTGCACCCGCTAACTGCCAGCCAGTGTGGAGGCTGAGCGGGCCGTGGTGGGTGGGTTGGAGCTGCCGGCCACCCACTTGGATGCAGGCGAGGCGTCTGGGCACCAGGCATTTTGTCCCTCAATCTGTAGCCAGGTGCTGGGTGGGCGTTGTTCCAGACCCCTGTGGCCAGCTCCGTCTGTCCTCTGCTCTGTCCCCCCAGGGGGCTGCTGTTCATCTGCCTCCGGTGGTTCTGCAGCTGCCGCCCTCCTGGCCGACGTGGTCTGGCTGCCTGCTTGCCTTGTTGCTGTGTCTGTGGTCCTGGGGTCCTGGGGAGGCCAAGGATCAATCTGTCTGTTAGTCGTTGGTGCCTGTGGCACGTGTCCTATGGTTCTTAAAGACCCTCTTGTTTCCCGTTACTCGAGTGACCTAACGCCTGCAGACTCTCTGCTGTCTCTCTCCTGCTCTCTGAAGCTGGGCCGGGATGGACTTTGTCTCCAGCTGCCCTGGCGTTATGCTGCCCAGCTGCTGTTTGTCTCCAGCTGCCCTGGCGTTATGCTGCCCAGCTGCTGTTTGTCTCCAGCT